CTTAATAGATTTTATGATTTTACAGGTTAGTTCTCACCTCTTCGTTTCCATACTCAACAGGTATGAGAGTTACCTGTGATTCTGTTATAGAACTTTGACAGTTAAGTAGAAAGCTGTGAAACAACTAGCTAGCTGCCTTGGGCAATTTTACATGGAGATTTTACAAAACCTTCATATTTTTTTCTCTCTATTAAGCACTGGGTGGTGCAAATGTTAACTTGTTCAGCTGCTAACTGAAAGCTTGGAGATCAAGTCCACCCAGAGGCTCCTTAGAAGAAAAATCTGTTGATCTACATCCAAAAATGCAGCCTTTGAAAATCCTATGAAGGACAGCTCTACTCTGACACACATGAGTTGCAGTGAGTTGGCATTGACTCCATGGCAACTGTTTATTTATTTAATGACTTATCTATTTAATAATTCAATTATCATTATTATTAATCATTCAGATGTATTCACACACCAATACTCCAAAGACACTGGCAAAGGATTTGTTGGCATGTATCCAATAAATAGAGCTACCTCTTAACTTTCAAGTCTTTTCAGGTTAGCTTTGGTTTAACTCTACTAACATGAATTACTTATTATTATCATCCTCACCTCACTTAATCCTCATGTCATCGCTGTCAGACTGAAAGAGTGACTACATATTCTGCTTGACAGATGAAAACTCAGGCTTCTTAAAATTATGTGACTTTTCCCGAGACACACACTGAATTGCTGTTAGAGACAGATGAAGTGATTTCAAAACCAGAGCTCTTTCTCCACTATTGTATTGCCTAAAAAATTTAGCATTTGAAGGGATTTAAAGATTGTATAATTTAGCTATCCCATATTATTAGCAAGGGAATTTCCATGCTGAAGATATGTCTACTTCTACTTGTTTGTTGTTGCTATGTGCCATCGAGTTGACCCAACTCATAGCGATCCCTCCTTGGGTTTCTGAGGCAGTATCACTACGGAAGTTAGTGCTTTATATATCTATCATCTGCATCAGTAGCAGTTAAATATTTGATCATGTTCTTTAGCCAGACTCATATTTTTCAGAACATGTCAAAGTTGCACTTCTATACTTAAAAAAACTTACAAATTTGCCTCAATATTCTAATGCACACTATATTCCTATTTTGCAAATACTTGTTAATAAATTAATTCCATTAGAATGGTAGTAATAAAATTTAGTTTTGAGAAATAAGTAAATCATCTCATTTTATCAGCTTCACTTAAAAACAGAAAAGTTATCTAAGAGAATGGGAAGAATTAATAAGTATTTCTTATTCGGTAAATTTCAGGAAGGATACTACTCAGCAACTGTACTGAAGAGTGAGTTATACTCTATTCTGTGAGTGACATTTATATTCTATATACAAAATATTTAGATTGGAATTGGTAAGAAGGGTGTGCATTTCTCATTCTTTCTTGGAAAGGAAAACAAATGAAGTTTTTGGTTTTAGATACAATGACAAGACAGGAATGGGGTACAATGGAGTATCAATACACATAGACGGCAAGTGGAGACAGTGGTAAAACATGCAGAATGAAAGACAATGGAGAACTGAGAGGAGAAAAAAGAGAAAATGATAAAAAAAAAAAAAGGGAAAGAATATGGGGATGGGTGTGGAAAAAAGTGGCAATTAATTAAAAGGGCAAAATGAACCACAAACTTAGAAAAAAATAAATAACAAGTAAAGCTGGTGAATGAAAAGGAAGAGAAAGAAGAAAGAGAAAACATGAAGGAGGTTTTAATAATTGTTGCAAAGATAGACTTTGTCTGAACACAACTTGGACTCTAAACATGCTGAGTGTTGTTTGTAGGTGTATCACTTTTCATCCTAAGAATGAGGACAGCCCCTCCTCTCCTCATCTTCATTACCACGTACCGTTCATCATTGTCAGAGTCAGATGAATCTATTAATTAGCTGATCAAAGGCAAAACCCATTGCTGCTGAGTGGATTCCAACTCACGGTGACCCTATAGGACAGAGTAGAACTGCCTTATAGGGTTTCTAAGACTATAATCTTAACTGAAGCAGATTAAGGGTGGCCCAGCAGAGGGGTTCCTTAGCAGCCGAGCACTTAACCACTGTTCTGCCAGGGCTCCTTTAGTTAGCTGAAATGGCAAGAAAGATTATACATATAATGACAGGATTTAGATTTCTATTTCAGCCTCCTCCCGTTACTTTGGTTAAAGTATAATTTGTCCTATCCCCCTGCAGAGGGAAATAATTTCTCCATTTCTTTTTTGCAGGAATTTATTTTACCTAGAACAATGTTCATCTGATCAACATTTGTCCTTAGTCTCTGGATCTGTGTCACCCCCCATTTCAGAATCACAGGTAAAGCAAGTACACAGAGAGGAATGGGACAAGGGAAGAAAGTGAATCAAAGATATCAGGTGATAGGGAATCTGTCAGGCAACAATGGCAGAACAGACCCGGAGGGCAGACAATAAACAGAGTAGAAGAGCCTGTAACCTTCAATCTCAAAGACCCTCAGAGGTGCCCTGATGTTTCAGAGACATCTTCAAACACTAAAACATCATGAATTAACTGTGTGTGAGCGTATAGGAGGCACACAATGTTAAGAGTAAGAAGAAAGGGGATCTAAGTTTCCTAACAAGATTGTTTAGGAAACACTAAATTGAATGTTGAGACATGTCTGACTAAATGTGGAAAAGTAAGAAGTGAATTGAGAAGTTACTTTGGAGAACCCACAAAATATTTACTTTTTTTTAAAACATTTTTATTTAGGTCTCATTTTGTTTAAAACTCTTTCCACTAATTTGGCTAAAGTAAGATTCCATCCCCCCTCCCTCGAGAGCCAACATTTCTGGATTTCTTTTGTCACAGGTAATTATTTTACCTAGAATGATTCTCATCTGATCAACATTTGTCCCTAGTCTCTGGATTTTTTATGTGTGTACATGGTGTTTGTGCACACATATGACCAATACATTGTACTACTTTCATAAATTGCACCTTTAGCTGCTACCAATCCATGAAGACCTCTGTATTAACCACTTTATCCAGCTTTGAAACCACTGCTATCAAGTCAATGCTGACTCATAGCAACTCCCACAGAGTCTCTAAGGCTGTAAATCTTTAAGGAATTAAATTGCCTCATCTTCTTGTGGAGCAACTGGTAGGTTTGAACTGCCGAATTTTGGTTAGTGGCCAAATGCCTTACCCACTATACCACCAGACCTCCTTATTCAGCTTTGGAGATACATAAAAGCAGATAGCTTTGGTGGTTTCTAAAATATGTATCCAAAATACCACTAGATAGACTGGTTCTCTGTTATTTGGACTTTTGTTTTTCTCTTCTCTTTATTCTTACCCTTATCTCTCTCTCTCTTTGTTATTATTTTCTAGGTACTGCCTTATTATCACTTTATGACAAAGATTCTCCTTCTTCTCTACACTTATGTTTCACAGCACTTACTAAAAACATGTGATATTGAATACAATAGCACAGGGAAAATTATTATATATAGCATTGCTATATTTTGCTGTGGACCAGCAATTAAAAAAAAATTATCCCCATAATAAAACATTTTTTAGTATGTACCTTAATATACGTATATTTATTTATAAGCCATATATATACATATCATTCTGGTAATATGTTATTTGTATTATAAATATTAACAAAGGAGAACATTTAAAAGCATAGAATACAGTGTGTATATACAAAATGTACTAATGATTTTCATACCTCAGTGGCTCATCATGTGTATCTTCCAGAATGAGCATACCACACTAAATACACTAACAATCCATCTGACCCCTAACTCTGGATTGTCCCCACAATGACTGTTCTTTTCATTCAGACAAGATTGAAATTCTAATTTTAAGCCCAGCAAGGAGTAGTTTTAGACTAGTTATATTATTTTTAATTTTTTAATATACAACAAAAAAATTATCCATTGATTTGAAATTGTGATTAATAATTTATTTTCCAATTTAAACTGAGTTGTGTACACCTGCATTCTTCTATCACTTGCAAATCAGACCCAAAAAATAAAACTCATCCTAAATTCAAGTAACTTAGTAACAGTAGCCTTAGTTTTTTTGTCTTTGAAATGAAGGGATTAAACTATAGGGTCTTTACAGCTACTTCTAGCACTTTTAATCAATGAATTTGTGAGTTTAGATAATTTTTTTAATACTCTCAGATTTTGTGTTTTAGCATATTTTATGTTGACTCTTGAGTGTCATACTGGCATCAGAGAATCAGAGAAAGAAGTGGTCTGGGAGTATAAATATTTGAGAATGAGTTAGTGTTAATTAAGCTGCATGGATGGGGTGTAGAGTGGCTACAAGTGGTATTCAAGCAGGAATGCAACTAGGGGACTTCGAAGATAGGTGAAAGGCAGAATTATTATTTGAGATCTGGCCATCACTTTGGAATCAGAGTACCCATGGACATCACACTAGATGGAGGGCAATAAAACAAATGTATTAAAAAAAAATACAGAGAGTAAGCAAAGAGTTAATACCCAGGAACTGAGAATTCCACAGGATCTGAAAGGAGGAAATACTAGTAAAGGTTTTTTTGTTTGTTTGTTTGTTTGTTTGAGGAGAAAATGAGTGATCCCTTAAAACAGATAAGCATCAAGGATAGTACTTTCCTAAAAAGTCAAAGACCTTGATGCTTGGAGTTATGTTGAGTCTCAATGAGGAAACTTCTCACATAACACACAAAGATAGGAATCTCAAGGTCTAGGAACCCAGACTCCTAAAGTGGAGAGTAGTTCCATAGAAGTGTATGGTTGGATGGAAATAAAAAGGTGGGCCTGAGAATAGTGTTTTTGTTTTAACTTGAAGGAATAAAGGAGAAAGGGGTTTATCCAGAATATTAAGGTTATGGAAAAGGTTAAGAGATGTGTTGTTTTTAGCTGAAGTCATAGGTGTCAGATGCTTTTAGCTAGAGAAGAAGTATGGTATAGATGAATGAGAGGAAAATCAACTGTGCTTTTTGATGTACTGCAGACCAAGGAAATGGTGATGAGAAACAGCACAGTGATGACAGAATTCATCCTTCTTGGTCTTACCCAGTCTCGAGATATTCAGCTCCTGGTCTTCGTATTAGTCTTAGTTTTCTATCTCGTCATCCTCCCTGGGAATTTCCTCATCATCCTCACCATCACATCAGACCCTACTCTCTCAGCCCCCCTCTACTTTTTCCTGGGCAACCTGGCTTTCCTGGATGCATCCTACTCCTTCATTGTGGCTCCCAGGATGCTGGTGGACTTCTTCTCTGAGAAGAAGGTGATCTCCTACAGAGGCTGCATCACTCAACTCTTTTTCTTACACTTCCTTGGAATAGGGGAGATGTTCCTTCTTGTTTTTATGGCATTAGACCGTTACATTGCCATATGTCGGCCTTTACACTATTCAACTATCATGAACCCCAGAGTTTGCTATGCATTATTGTTGGCTCTGTGCCTTGGGGGCTTTGCTCATTCCTTTATACAAGTGGCTCTTATCCTCCACTTGCCCTTCTGTGGCCCAAACCAGCTGGATAGCTTCTTCTGTGATGCCCCACAGATCATCAAGCTGGCCTGCACAGACACCTTTGTTGTGGAGCTCCTGATCGTCTCCAACAATGGTTTGCTCATAGTCCTGTGTTTCCTGGGCCTTCTGGCCTCCTATGCTGTCATCCTCTGTCATATAAGAGGACACTCTTCTCAAGGGAAGAACAAGGCTGTGTCCACATGCATCACTCACATTATCATCGTGTTTCTCATGTTTGGACCTGCCATTTTCATCTACACTCGCCCCTTTAGAACTTTCTCAGCTGACAAAGTGGTTTCTCTCTTCCACACAGTGATTTTTCCTTTATTGAATCCTGTAATTTATACCCTTCGCAACCAGGAGGTGAAAGCTTCCATGAGAAAATTATTTAATCGGTGCGTAAACAGATGAAAGGAGAAAAAATATTAGTCACCCATGACTTGGGATATCCTTCTTAAATTAATTAATTTACTTCAAAAAATGCATTTTGAGCACTCATTCTTTGTCAGAAGAATTCTAGGCGCTGGAGCAAGAGTTATTCATGAGACAGATAGTCACTGCTCTCATGGAGGTAAAACCTAGTGGAAATAAACAGACATTAAGACAGTGCAAAAAGACAAAAAAACAAAGAAAAATATTTTCTGGGAGAAACATTATTCTAAGGAAACTAAGACCAAAATTATAGATTATAACTGTGATTTGGGGTAACCAATTTACTTTTACTCACCAAGCAAGGCCTTCCTGAAGGTGGTGGTATTCTGGCTGATATCTGGCTTACAGCCCACTGAATGCCCCAGAGACAGAGCATTTTAGGCAGAGGGAATAAATAATGTAAAAGCATGAAGATAACAATGGATTTGGTATGACTGAGGAAAATAATAAAGTCTAATATGTTTGAAGCATAGCAACTGAATGTGAAATGATTAAAGCTGGAGATACTGGTAGGGTTCAAAAAATACACGGTCTTTTAAATGAATATCAAGAGTTTGAATTTTATTGTAATTGCAGCGAGAAGCCATGCTAAAGCTTTAAGCAGTTCATCTACTGCAGTTTCAAAAATGATTTAGTCATATTCTGAGGATTATTTACTTGCATCAATGAATTATTAAATATCATTAAGAGATAAATATTATTCTTGTAAATATATTTTGAAAGAAATTAAGTTGCCTTTTTTTTTTTTTTAATTTTTTATAATTAGGAATAAGGAGGAGAAAAGCTGCTGGATATTTCCATGAGACAGTCAGAAACATTTTTCACTATTTTCTCCTAGAACTTCATAATTATTGCTAGCAGATTTTTATGAATTCTTGATGTATGCTTGATCTTACCTTATCATTATTTCACCAATGCCACTTCTTCATCTAGGAGATTTTCTAGCTCTGTATTCTGGTTTTTGTTTGTATTACTTTACCTTGTTTCTTTGTGTGAACTGCTATTGTCAGTTGTTTCTGAGGCATTATGATTTCATAGTATTTATATTTAATTGGAGGAGCTCTGGTAGCATAGTGCCAAGGCACTTGACTGCTATCCAGAAGGCTGGCAGTTCAAACCCACCAGCCCTCCTTGGAAGGAAGATGGGGCAATCTACTTCCTTAATGATACTGCCTCGGAAACACAAGGAGGGGTCACTATGAGTCAGGTCCGACTCAACGGCACATAACAACAACAACAACATATTTAATTGGTGATCGTATGTTGGTATGATTTGCCCAGATTTTATTGATTTATTTTTTAGCTTCATTTTGTTTTGATATATCCGAGAGAGGGATTGGTGTGTTACTCTATGAGCTAGTTTAGCAGCACTTAACACACTCATCACCTGTCTCTGGTGGGTGTGATAGAGGATGGAATTGTGTGCATAGATCTCTCCTAACTGTTTATACAAAGCAGTTGAGGGTGGGTTGGACTCATCTTGGCCTCTGTCTATTGTTAATTAGTTGCTGCAGAAGTAGGTGTTGGCCCTTTCCCAGTGAGTGGGACTGCAGGAGGGGTGGATGTGGTTGGGTCATGTGGGCACATTTGCTGTCTACTGACAGATGGGACAAACAAACAAACAGACAAAACATCAAAAAAGATAAAAAGAAGAGAACAAAAAACACAAACTAGAGGTAGGGTGCCTAGACCTTGAAAAAGTTCCTGCGTGCCCAAAAGGCAGCTGGAGACAGGATATCTGCTACTATAAAAAGTTCTTGCTGTCCAAAAGGAAGTTGTTCAAGGGCCCCTGCTCCCCAAAGAAGTGCCTGGTGTTCCAAAAGGCAACAGAGTATGTAGGGTGCCTGATCTCAGAAAAAGTTTCTACTGGCCCAAAAGGGCCAGTTCCTACTGGGAACAGGATGACTGATCTCAGAACGAGTTCCTGTTTGCCAGGAAGGCAGCTGGTGGCATGGAAGATGGTCTGGGATGGAATTCCTGCCAGTGCAGGAGGTGAGTGGGTGGGGGAATGGCTGCATCTCCACTCACTGGGAGTTGTGGGGTACAAAAGGGACAAGAGGAATATCACAGTTTTTTGTTCCTCAGCCACCAATGTGGTTGCCTGTTGTCATTGGCAAGTGGAGCTGATTACCCAGTTTCTGCCTGAATCAGAACACCGCTTACAAATATTCAAAATGTCCATGACATCAGGTGAGTTGACAGTCCAAAGTTTTGTTTGCCTCCTTATTTGCTGTTTTCACTCAGTTTTTTCTACTAGTTGGTATTTAGTTCACTTCTTTATCTTTCCCTTAGAAGCTCAAGGTTTCACGATTATCCTCTGTGTCTATTTCAATTGGTATTTTGTTTCTTTGTGGTAGAGGGTCTTTGTAGATTGTCTTCCTATTCTGCCAATTTGCTGGAAGATCTCACAATCTTTGCTTTTAAGGAGCATTCTGGCTCTATTTCTTCCAACACAGATTTGTTTGCTCTTCTACCAGTCCATGGTACAAGCTATATTTTTTGCCAACACCATAATTCAAAGGCATTAATTCTTCTTTGATCTTCCTTATTCATGTCCAGTGTTAGCATGCATATGAGATGATTGAAAATACCCTGGCTTGCCTCAGACATACCTCATTCCTCAAAGTGATATCTTTTCTTTTTAACACTTTGAGATTTGCTCAATATAACATCATTTGATTTCTTGACTGCTGCTTCCACTGGTGTTGATTGTGGATCCAAGTAAAATGAAATTCTTGACACCTTCAATTTTTTTTTCCATTTATCTGTAATTTGTTATGATCCTGTGATAGTTGAAGATGTGTCAACTTGGCTGGACTCCAGTTGTGAGTGGTGGTTCCCATGATAGATCACATGACTGCGTTCTAAGCGGCCGGTCGGTCTAGGGGGAGTTTCCCCAGGGGTGTGGCCTGCCTGCAATACTATCCCAGGGACAAACTGGAAGAACGGCATTCCGGACTATACACTTCCTGGAGCGAACAGCTCGCTGCTCGCCCTGGAGGTTTTTGGATTTTTTCTTTGTTGGGAACAGTGACCAGCGCACTGCGTGTCAGCTTGATTCTCTCGGCTTTACTGTGCTTACGGGAACCAGACGACTCT